ATTTCAGACCTCATAGACTTCTATGATGGTGTTCACACTACAGTAAAAACGGATCCAAACCGTTCCCTTTCCCCCAAAGCTGCAAACCTCTAAAGATGAGGAAAGTCAAGACCCAGATTCTGCCTAGAAAATTATTGCTCCCCAGACAGATTTTTTATGTCCTCTCTCCACTTTATGGCTTTTCCATACTAACGAGGAAGCAAAGGCTGAAAAAACAATATGGCCTATACTTTCTTCTCTCCCATGACTGTAAGCTTTAAGAAACACTGCTAAAACCAGTAAATTTACAGCAGCATAGCTGAAGTCAACATTTGACTCTGCATTTCATCTGTCACCTCATCTTCTACAGCAAAACATTCCAGCTGGAGCTTTGAAAAGCAATTCATTCCTCACCTGAGCAATGCAGGGTTAGACATGTCTTTGTCATGGAGGGTTTGGCGTTTAGGAGAGAGAAACGAATACATATAGCTTACAGCTTATATAAAAGTTGGGTGTTAGAACAAAAATTCTGCAGATATCTGAGGGTGGACAAGGCCTAGGAAAAGAAAGCAGAGAAGAACAAGATGAAATTAAGATAACAGAACTTGCTGAGCTGTGAAAGAAAGGAATGGAAGCTTTAGAGCAGAGAACATTTGAAACCTAAGGAGAAGCAAAGATGCTGTCTTTGGAAGACAAGCCTCCGCTCAGGTGGGATATAGCCCAGAGGGACTTTTCCATCACTAATTTGTGTTATTTGGCAAGGATTTGAACCTTCCTCCCCCTCCAGAGGGAATGCAATGTGATGCTGAGAAGAGACAAAAGTTGTCAAAGCACCGTCTCATTTGTTCTTCCACCTGATTTTGCAAAAAAGAAAATCACCTATGTCTTTGCTCAGGAAAGGAGCTGTTCAGCAGCTTCTCCCTTCCTTTCACCCCATATGAGGGTTGAACTCTTTAAGACAAACAACGCTGCTGTGCTTATCCAGCCCCTTAATGTCTCTGAGGACTGAGTGCTAATGCGACAGAGGCCGTAGGGTGTGTGGAGATGGGCGCTTCCAGGCTCTCCCCTTTGGCTAATGCTCTGTTGATCTGATTTAGTGCATTTAAGAACAGACTTCTTTAGCTATGCTATTGCTCCGTGGCCTCAGCAAAAAGGCATCATGCCGGAAATTAATCATCAGCAAGCAGCCAACAGCAGAGTGGCAGGTGAAGCACACAGCATGGCTCCCCTTGTGTGAATGAATTTGTCCAGTAAGTTCAGAGCTGGAGTGCACTCATTTCTTGAGTCAGATCCCATTTGGCCTCTACTGAAGGGAAGGGAGTGTCCAATTGCACGGTGCTTTTTATTTACATTTTTTTAGCGTATCTCCAATCTGACCAGTATGTAAAACCCTTTGAGGAACGTGAACAGATGTCAGCTGTAGGGTCCAGCTGCTTTGCAGTGGCTTTCAAGAGCAAGACCCTACAGCAAAAGAGGAGATGGGACTTGAGGAATGGAGGGACTTGTAAAAGTATGCATTTGCAGGGTCAAAGGGATCCTTTATGCAGGCAGAGGGGTACCTACATGGTAATAATGCAATCCCCAGATCCCTCACACCTCAAATGTTTCATCTCTGAAATAGCTCTGAAACATCAAGAGAGGTGTGTAGCTTTGGAAGATCTATAATCACAGAGGAAATCATGCTCTTAAGTCATACTTTTAGACAAAACTGATTGGGAGTTACTGTTCTTGTCTCTACAGTGATAGAGCTGCAGACTGAAAAGTTCATGCAGAAAATGCAGAGGGCAGAACAACATAATAAGTATTACGTACTGGGACAGATCCCTGCAGACTTTATTCAGACCTTGTTTGAGCAAAATATGTTATTTTCCAGTGGTGTGTTTGGCTGGACAGGGAGGCTTAGCTCTCCTAATTCTAGACTTGCAATTAAAAAAAAAAACATGTTGTAGCTTCTCCTTTTTAAAGGCTTACATATAGGAAAAGGTGCCCACAATTATCTCAGTACATGCAACCTGAGCCTGAGTGGCTCAATCACTGAGCCACTACAGATACACAATGATTAGCAATGAACCACCAAAGTTAGATAGGAAGCCAGGCAGTGTGTTTTGAAAATCAAGTGTACCATGCAGATGTGCTTTGGTGATCACAGACCTTTATAGATGAGCATCTCAAAAGCCTCACTGTTAAGACATTGCTTTCTTTAAACTGGGCGTTCCAGGAGGAGAGCTGATACAGGGAACTCCTGGGGCTCTGATACTCATGACACTTCTCTGACCTGCCCTTGTCTCACTTCTGTTTTGAGCAGCCTCTGGTTAGTTCCATTTCCTGGATCTCACGGAGAGTTGCCTTTAGTTCCCCTCCTCCTACACCAACTTTCTTGAAACCGGCACTATGGAACCACTAAGGCAGATTCATTCTCAGTAAAAACCTAAAGCAAATAGTCTTACATCCAGGATGCACCTGATCTTTCTTTCTTAATAGCTCTAAAGGCAAAAGATCAGAGAAAAACACGTCGATATTCTTAACTGTATCAATATTTGGTTGTGCAGATGGCTTTCATTTAACAGAAGAGGTCTCAGTTACTTGCCCTGAAGCTTTTTCAGCTGGGAGATTCAAACTTTCAGTAAACTCATTGTCTTTTGGAGTACGTTTGGTTTCTTGGAGGGAAGAGAGAAAAGTAGTAAAATAAAAGAACACAACCTAGAAATGCAATCCAGCTGGTGTTGGACAAGCAACAGGGACAGCATCCGTACAAAGACTAAGAATACAAACTTAAATGGCCTTCCTCTGTCGTGCGTGCAGGCAGACTGCTCCCCAAAGCATTATTCTGTGCCACCTGCATGGGGAATAGTATTTTGATAGTTAAAGGCAAGGTCAAAAGGCAGGTGCATCAGGAAAGTAATTAATTAAAAAAACCCAAGCCCTGGAGAAATCCAGTGACTTGCTTGTCACAGCTACTGCACAGGTATTTCTTGGCTTCCCACAGTCACACCTCTCACTGTTAATCAGCAGTATTATTATTTCGTGGCAGGACCAGGGAATTTTCTCCATGCTGAGGACCTGGGAGGCCTTCCAGATCTGCCTCTGTATCATCCAAAAATAGAGCAAAGCCTCACAGCCCCACAACAGGGAGTCATGGCCAGACCTGGGCCATGGGGGTTTGCTATTTCTGCTTGATCAGTAATCTTATACAGATGTTTGTAGAAAAAGGGATTCTAGAAGCAAGTGCAAGTACTACTAGAAAAAAAAAGAAGTGGAGAGCTCTACTGAGAGAAAAGGTTCCTCTCACTGGACTGTTACACCCATATTAATCTGCTAAATTTGAAGTTTAAATATCAGGCAGAGAAAACGTTTGAGCTCCGCAAAGTAGGTGGAGTGAATGTGTATAAAAGTCAGGAAAAACTCACCTTCCATCTTCTTTCTATGATAAAAATCCGCTTAAAGTAAATAGTTCCAGTAGCCCCACAGAGAGCTTCACTTCCAAAGATTATTGCAACTCTCATTTTAATTGGCTTTTCAATTTATTTCTGGAAGATGCTTAGTATATAATATTTTGGAATTGGAGAGGGTGCATGGAAAGCAGAACCAGTAATATGTATTTAAAATTGACCATCATGACACCTATGGGTTTATCTCACAGACATTGTGGTTGATTGCAGTGTTCACCGCCATGGCAGCCAGCTCTAAAGACCACCTGCCAAGACACAATAAGAGCAAGTTGTATGTTCAGTTTTTCTTAGACGGGGCATATTTAGTCCAGGTCTTTATTAGAAGCTGTGTCTAATTTGGGAGGTGGCTGTATTTTTTTGATGGTTTGCAAAAAAATGTAGCTTAGACATACTGATTTCTTCTGGTATGAATATTGCAAACAGATCTAACTTGAAAGCCGTCACCTGTAGGGCTGGATAGGCAGTGCTTTTCCTTGCATATCACTGGAGGGGGGGGGAGTTACTGTCCACCACGTAAACAATTATTAAGCACTTAGCACCCTTTAACAAGTTCAAATATCTTCTGCCTGCAACTAATCCCACTAGGAGAAGGCCTAGGAAGAAAGCGTAGCAAGGAGATGTTGTATGAGACATCCTATACCCTATCCCATACTCATATGGTTTGCTTAGTGTTTTCCCCTTTGCAGTTTTCTTGACATCCTGCGTGGAACAGAAACAAGCAAGGAGACTCTTTTTAAGGAAGAATTCTGTTCTTGATAGATAATAGTATGTGTATGTGGTCAGCTAATCATACAAACTGCTTCCCAAAGGTGGTTTTCATTTCAAGCCTTTGCAGGTTCAAAATTGCCTGGGACTGTGTTCATGGATATTGCTGACTCCGCCTCTAACAGGGATACTACTGTTTCCATAGCAACTCATCATCTCCAGGGTTAGTCTCTCCCTTCCCTTTGATCAGACAAGATAATTCCCAGATACAGAATACGCTAACAGCATCCCGGTGCAGTGCAGTTTGCATTAACACTTGTTTAGGAGGAGCATGCCACCTGATATTTTCCCATTAGAGATTGTTGCAACGACTTTCATTTAGGATCCTCAGCTAAGAGCTCTTGAGCTGCTAGCAGGGAAGATTTCCAGCTCACCCAGTGCTCTAGAGTAGCAGTGAGAAAAGGCAACATGCACACCCAGGTATTGGAAAAGGCTATATCTAAGGACTGTTAAGTTTTCAGTGATCATATCCAGTTTTCAGAATTTTCCATTTCTTGCCAAGACTCTGCACTACAATTCTTACTGTGTGGTGAGCCTTCAGACCCCAGTAACTATGATCTCTCGGGCAAAAATCCATTTGCCAGTATGCAGTGACCTTCTACCTCTACAGCAAGGCAGACAGCCCCTCTGCTGTTTCTGTGCAGCGTCCTTTGCATTTCTGCAGTGCTCTTTCTATTGAGAGCTGACTGCAGGAGAAGGTCAAGTTAAGACAATAAAAGCCCAACAGGCATGTTTCTGATAAAGCCTTTCTCGAATGCGATCGTTGCTTTGAATGACTTAGATGCATGCTTTCCTTTTCCCCTACAGTTGGCCATGGGCAGAGCGAGGGTGATCGTATGGTTGTGTCAGATTTCCACGTCTTCATCAGGGACAGCTTGCAGCACGTTGATCTCATGAAGAAAGAGCATCCTGGCCTCCCCATTCTCATTCTGGGGCACTCCATGGTAAGCACCCTTTCCCCTACACTTCCAAGCACCATCTAGGATATGTGCTGCAGCACAGTAGTACTGTTCTGGACAACAGCGAGTAACTCAGCCCACAGAAGGAAAAACAAAACTACAAGCGAGCCTCTCACCCACTTCATACACTGTCTGATTTGCCAGCATGCCTTACCCTGTGAGAATACAGTCAGTCCTTAACTTTTCTACCTGGATCATGACCATAATTAGTGCCATTTGCAACAATTAGACTATTTTTCAGTAGGACCATCCAATCACAGTGGGTATCTAACCAAATCCCACCACCTCCCTGCAACATTGGATTTCTCCTTTCCTTTTAACCAGTAAGCAGGAGGCTAAGCCCTCCAAAGCTTTGCGAGTGGATCGAGGATGAAGTACAAAAATTCCCTGTAGCCTCATTCTGTTAAATAACCTTACAGGAAAATTTACCAAGGATTAGGGCTGCAAAAACAAAGGCAGTGAGCTGGTGAACAGCTCTAAAGTCTGATTCTGACAGCACGGGCTAAATCCTTTTATTCAAGCCAGCAGTATTCCCATTGATGTCATTGATCTTCTCTCTCCCTGCCTTCCCGGAGGAGAGAAAAATGAATAAGTACTTTGGGATTCAGCCCATGCTCAGATAAACAAGTGTTCTTACATAAGAACGCATGGCATGTTCTTAAGTGCTCACTGTGCTCCAAAGCCTCTGTAACAAGGAGCTAATTTCCCAGTGAGGTCTTTGAGATTCTTCTAGCTGCCGCTCCATTTAACAAGCCCATGGTTCTTCAGCAGCATGGAAGTTCACCAAACATTTCCCTTGGCAACTAATCCTCTGCGAACTTTCCTGAGCAAGCCAGCCAAGTCTCCCTCCTCTGCTCTTCCCCACCCCCCACTACTGATCAGCTACTGGGCTCACACAGCAGGACCCAGCCTGACCAGCGTTTATCTCAGTGACGTGCAAGCATGTCTGATTTTAACTGTCCAGCCTTGCACACAGCACTGGAGGGCTGAAGAGCATGGGAGCACTGAAGAGCAGAATATTTAACTTTGAGCAATTAGCTATTATTTTGGCATGCCAGGTGAGAGTGTTCCTGTCACTCAGCGTTACCAGTGCCGCAGGCACAGAGCAAGCCCTGCTTCACTTCTTTGCACGTCCTCTTTTTCTCGATGCAGCACCAGTCTGTCCTGTTCAGAGTCTCAACTTATTTTTCAAGTCCCACCCAAACTACCCATTTAGACTGTTTCTTTTTAGCCCTCTTAACCAAGGAGGATGACAAGCATCCTAGAGAGTTCACTGATGTTGCACACCGTTTTTTTTCAGTGTGATGCAATGGGTTTACAGCATGGGAGCAGAAACGAGATCTCTTCTCCTCCACAAAAATCAGCCTAGTTCAGTCACTTCACTTTTAGTGACCCTAATCCTCTAGCCTTCCTTTCTTACCATGTTGCAGTCTCTCTGGGGAAGGAACTATTTGGTCGTTTGGTCTAAAACCCTTCCAGTAGCAGGATTACTGCATAAATGAGATGTTGGCATCTGTATTAAGATGTGGGCTGTTCCTTTTGCATTACAGGGGGGAGCCATCTCCATTCTGACAGCTAGTGAGAGACCCAGTGAGTTTTCAGGCATGCTGTTAATCTCTCCTTTAGTGGCAGCCAGCCCAGAAGTCGCCACACCCATCAAGGTAAGAGCAAACCTGCATTACACTTGGTCACCTCTCTCTTCCATTGAAGGAAGTGCTTTAAGACCTCTATCCTTACAATGCAAAACCCTAATTAGATCTGCACTACCTGAATGCCAGTCAATACTTTTCTTCCAAGTGCCTCCCCCACGCTCCCACCTACTTTTCAGAGGGGAGGTGAGTTTTGAACTCCAGTTCAGGAAAACTTATTTAAATAAGAGTCAGAGAACGATGCCACCTGAGGAGGTGGTAGCAGACTGTGCTTTCTTCACCACACCCTTTCGCAGCCCACACAGTGCTGCCCTTTCCCTTCTCCTACAGTTTTCTTCCTGACTCATACAGAGTCTGGTATAGTTGCAACACAGGCTTTGGCTAAGTCAGGCTAGGGTTATTTTTGGCATTTGGGGGATGACCAGTTTCTAAACAAAACTAGGGCTTTTCAGTCCCAGGAATCCTTCACCACTCTCAAAGAAGGCTTCCAGCTAAAGCATTACTGCCCTAGCAGCATCCCATTTGGCTTGGTACCATAGCTGGCTCTTACCCAGAGAGAGAAACACCATCTTCAGTGTACAGCTAGGCTTTACCTCCTCCCATTCACATCTCTCTTCCTGAGTTATTTCTGATGAAAATTTGCACTGCCCAGTCTGCCCTTCCCTAGGGAAACTCTGCTAGGCAACTGAGCGTCATCTCTCCTTTTTCTCCCCTCCTTTCTGATTTTCTAAAAGAATAAACAACAGTCCTAAAAGAAACAGGAAGCAAAGGGAAGGGCCAGTTAAGCCAAGACCAGAACATCTCATTCCCACAGTACTCATTCCTTTAACCTTTATCCCTAGACTCTTCTCCTAGGTCTAGCTTCTTATTTTAGTGCACTTCTAAACTATTTCTCCTGCTTTACTGTTCTGAGAGAAAGGAAACAGATTGTATAGGCTTTCAGTGTAATCCATAGCACTACCTCCTCTAGCCTAAGCTATCTACTGAGCCTACAAAGCAAGATTAAAAGTACTGAAGGGTGCTTTTATGAGGCTGGTAGCTGATTCTTCACAGGTGAGGCTGTGCCTGAATCTGCAAAAAGGTCCCATGAGCACCAGTGCTGCTGGTTTTCTTACTTAGGAAAGGAATAAAGACTAAATGATTAATTAAAAAAAAATTTGAGTGGGGTCTGAATTTGAGAGGTGTTGATTTCTAGGTGTGGATTTCTAGTGGTTGATTTCTCTTTCTAGTGGAATCAAGGAGAACAGGAAAAAGTTTTTCTTCTGAAGCTGTATGTTTTGCTTTGTTAGATACTAAACCCTTACAGAAATAAAAGCTAGCAAGGTCTGTGGTAACTAGTATTGCTGTAGTTTGGTTTCCTGCCGATTAGTATCAGATAGTTGCTTATATTCAGAGTAAGAAGTTCTAATCTCTTAACTAACTGAAGTATTTTGGGAATGTTTATAGGGTCTCTTTCCTAGAGAGTCTCCCATCTACAATAGCACAAGTTCACAGTGGATTTTTTTCTCTCTTTCATATCTATTATTGCCTCTCAAAACCGATAAAAACTAATTATTGCTGAAGTATTTGCTCTGTCAAATTTAGCTGAAGTCAGTCATGGGGCTGAAAAGGTATTTGCAAGAGGAAGGAATGAAAACAGGCAGGGTATTCCTGTGTAAGCCACGCTTTCCCAGAAAGCTGAGCTGAAAACACTTTTCTGCTTTTTTCATTTGAGATCTAGAAGACGCTTCATTGGTGTTTGTGCCTTTGAGACACAAAGGCTTTGGTTTTTCCCCTGGAACTGGTATGACTTCTAGGCCCTAAGCCATTTCCTAAGGGCTGTGCATTCATCCCCTGTCTGGGGAAGTTTCCAGCTGAGCAAGAATTTACCTTGGCCTAAACAAACGAGGGCTCAAGGCAACAATAATAGCGGGCCGGATTCCATCCTGGGTCTTTCAGTTAGTGTTAGAAATACCTTCGGTCACTGCTGAAGTCCTGGCCATAGCAGAAGGGATGTGCCTTTACAGAGTGCATGCAGGAGAAGCAAGTTCTGCTCTTTTCGGAAACACAATTTCATCAGTACCTTATAAATTCTGTGTCCCAGCAGAAGCACCTACCTACTCATTCCAAATTAACTGAAGCCTGAGGGACCTTGCTGCCTTCCCCTTTTTCTTCTCAGCTAAGCTGGACAAGACTTGGCTCTGAATCTTCAACATTTGGAAGGATGCAAAAAGAAACGAATTACATGTGCTGACAAACAGTAGAATAAAGGTAGAAGTGTATCACCTGCTGAATTTCTGTCATTAAACACTTTAAAATAGCATTAACTAAATTAACCTAGGAAATATTCTTAATGATTAAACCTATACTAGCTTCAAGCCTATGCCTTAAAAACTCAGCGCACAATATTGCCTGTGTGCTTTTTGTTTTTTTCCATTTGGCCTTTTACCTATCTATTGCTTTCCAACCCAAATGGACGTCAGGTGGTTGTTCCAGTATGTGAGGGTCTCTTAGACTAGTGCACCAGTCATTCAGGCTGAATTTGCACACAGTAATAATGCAGAGGACTGTTATAAAGTCAAGCTGGAAGAAAGTACTAAATAACAAATTCTTATTTTGTTTTTTCTCTGGTCTTTCCAGTTTTGCAGAAACATGTTAGTCGTGACACATATAGTTAGGGTAGCTTGGTACAGGTACTCCAGGTATGGAGGTATGTCCTCCCTGTTAGGACTGTTCGAGCTGCTCTCAAGCTAATCTCTGTAGCTCATCAAGTATCTCTTCCAGAGATTTTTGGCTCAGTCAAAATGAGGCTAGCTAGTTTAAACAGTTCAGACATCACATCTTTGTTACTCCAGCTCATTTGTAATGGCAATGAACTTAAAAGCATTCACACAAGCGGTTTAGCGAGCAGAGGTCATGGGAGAGAGAAATAAGCACGCAGAGGTGTGGGGGGAACAGGGATTACTCTATGCAGAAGGGTCTACACTGTAGAGCACCCCTATAGCTGAACTAGTGCAAAAACCATGAAATCAGCTTTAAATTACACTTCCAGTCAAGAGGTAACGTTCAGCTATCTAGTTCTATCTTTCTCTGGGACTTTTGTCATAGAGAGCAAAAAGTTGAATTTGAACAGTGTTAAGTGTCTGACACACTTCTGTTGGCCTGGAACAGCTCTAATAACCATTACTCAGTCATCCTCAGCCCAACCAGTAATAATGCCATTACTGTGTTAACTTTTCTTGACCATTTGGGAGCTATTTTCTCAAGAACTGACACTTCCACTTTGAACCAACGGGGAGATAAACTCTTCAGATATCACATATAGCCAGCAGTTGAACAACACAGCTTTTAATTAAAAGTCCAGCATGTCATAAACGATACCACAGTGCTCACAAAACCAACAAAGGCTCAGGGAAACCTTTTGGCCTCCTAGTTAAAACATGAAACTTTATTTTTCCGCTAGCCATGACCTTGACTCCAAGAATCATCAAAATTACATCTGAATTTGGAGGCCGTACTAAACATTACAGGGAATGCAGCATTTCCTGCATACCTGAAAGCCCTTAGAAGAAGGGTGGCAGAGTCCTTTCACAATCAGTTCTTTTGACCAAGATGAGTTCTGTCTGTGCATAAGTAATCATTATTTTTAAGCATACAGGGAATATATGTGTGTGTAGGTGCAACTGACACATCCATGTATGGGGCTGGTTCTTCTCTTGTACAGCCAAACACCAGAAATGATTTCACTAATATCACCAATCCAGGCCAGTATATACTGCTGTGCTTGGGGTGAGAATCAGCCATTTCTTCTCTTCAGCAGTTTTTTGCTAGTTACTCCATTTGGCAAAACTCCAGAAAAGCGCAAAAACCTCAGGGATATTTCCAAAGCATGTCACAGAGTCAAGGTCGTTATTAGCCTGTGGAATTGTGATGATAAGCATATATCATTAGAATAGAAAAGTGGCCATAGTGAATCTGACAAAAGGCTGTCTAGCTTGTCTCCAACAAGGGAGAGTCTGAGAATAAGGCATATATTGAGTTCTCCTTTCCCTGTCACACCTTCCTCACCTTCATTATATTGGTAGGCTAGTGTAGTCTTGCTCGCGTGAGGGAAAGCTTCATATTTATGCTTCTTCTGCAAAATCCCTACTGCAGATCTCTGGGGATATAAATATTCACATGTACCAAGCAGACACAGAGCAGAATCCTCACCAGACTTTTGGCTTCTCCTGGAATTTTAGAGTATGCCAAAAAGCTTCCTTCTTCAGCTGAATCTGCAAGTAAACAAAGACCCCATCCAAAAAGCATGCCATCTTTTACTGTCTCTTATGTGCAGTCTTGACCTCAATATCTGTGGTCTTGATACCAATATATTGATCTCTTGGCCAATAATCTAAACAAAACTGGAGAGATCATCAACTAACCTCTTATGCCAAGATATTTCCTGTTGAATAAGCAGTCATTAGCCATAAGAACTCACCCCAAAGCATGACTCAGGCTCCAACTTTAGGGCAGCCTAATTACCTTAGGTTGCCATGATAATCTTTGGAGACAGGCACTTCCAAACCATTATTCAGATTTTACAGGTGCTCTGGAGGTTGTTTCTCTCACTCTCCACACTCTCTAAAGAGAGCCTAGGACAATTACATTTCTAAATTATATACCTCAGCTACATATCTAAAGTTACTTGGCATATATCCGGGTCACTGTAAATGGCTTGAGAGAGACAAAGGTGTTACAGCCTTGTCAGCGCATAGCTGACTTTTCATCCTTTAACATACCACAAGTCACATAGTCCATAGCCTTGCCTAGAATTCATAAAAATGCATTCCCCAAATCATCACCACCTGGATAAGCTCACACTTGCACCTGTGTGGATACGTTTTTTACTGGTCCAAATCCAGGGACCTCAGCAGAACTTAATTTTGCCTGCACAACGTCATGATCGGTGAAGGGCTTGATATACTCACGGACAGTGACACAATTTCCTTGTCATATCCACCCCAAAGCACACTGGTGTCCTCAAATCTGCTATGGGTCTTTACTGCTTTTGAGTCCTGGACAACTTTGTTTTCAACCTTGCAAATGTCGTAATTACTCTGTCACGTATCCTCTGAGATCAGAAATGTCAGAGAGTGCTTTAGAAGTGTTGCACTTCAGCAGAAACAGAGACCAGGTGACAGTACACCTTTCAAGTACTAGCTGCGGACACAAAGGGCCATAAAATAGACCAACAAACACTAATTGCATGTTTTCTGACTTAAATGGTGATCACTTAATTAAAGACAGCTATCAAAGATCAGAGCAGAATCCTGGTTTCAAAGATCTTGTAGATTGCTATTGAAATTAAAGATGTTACTCTTTCTTCTGCCAGAGGTTTCAAGCTTGGGCTGCTGAATGCTTTTGTGTTTCATTCCCAGGAGACAAGTGAGCAATAGATTTTCTTAGCCAGTGCATGCACATTTTGCTGTTGTTTATTTGCAGGCTCCCCTGAGAATATGCTTATCAAAAAGAGTGCAGCCTAGGCAACTACTGCAAATTGCACAGAATATCACTTATGCACTGCAGCTTGAAATCAGACCTGTGACAGCAAGGAAAGGGCAGTAACCACAACAAAAACCAGCCCCACAGAGGAATGGAAACAGCTTTTTTCTAATGAAGTGCTTAACTGAGGCCTTTTTTGAAATTAACTTCAGCATGAGAAAAAGGCAAAGTACAATGAAGCTGTGATGCTGCGAGTGGACAGTTGAAAGCATTTCAAACTAACACGTCCAGTGCCTGATTCCAGAAGCAGTGTAAATCCTTTCCCTTTATGATAAATGTTTTAAATATAGGACAGGTCCTTCTGCAGTGTCAGTTGATATTTCTTTACTATGTAACTTCAGTGCTGATTCCCGTCAGCTGAGAATTTGGCCCTCTATGTTTTCTCTCTCTTGCTCTAACTAGCCCTCTAACTACTTGCTTTCCTCTCTCACAGGTTTTTGCAGCTAAAGTGCTCAACTTTGTTCTCCCAAACCTGTCCCTGGGATCAATAGACCCAAATGCAATTTCCCGGAACAAGAAGGAGGTGAGAACCTTAATGCCATTTGAAGTCATTGCTGAGTTAGTATGCAATCCCAGTCTCGTCATTTTGCTTTTAAAAAGAAAGGTGTTTTGCTAAGTCACTAGGACAAGACCTTTGCTTATGTAAAAAGGTGAAACATCTCTGAGGTCAAGGGAGCCCTATCTCTTTCCACGTAACAGAGAACTTGGCTCACCACTGGAAATCGACAGTTCATCCCTTCACCTTGCACCTTTGGCCGTTCTGGGCACAAGACGTAGCAGATAGCTGTGCTACATTCAGGTTGTGAGCACTGCTAAAGTCACATTTTCCAGCCTGCTCTTTGCAGTGCTACAGTGCAAATCACTACAATCCCAGCGATTTGTATTACTGTGATTGTATTGCAACTTTCTGTATTAGTTGTGCTATGGAGGAGTTGTGCTTACACACCAGGACTGCATTGTGCTGGATGCATTCAAATACCAGAAAAGAGCATGCTTGCCTCAAATACCTTGCCACAAGGTCACCTGGATTACATGCTGGCTCTACTACAGCCTTTCTGAACAAATGATGTATTCTTTCTGTGCCTCAGAATAATACTTCAATGAGCTGCAACTGAACAAGCTAATTCCAGCTTCCACCACTGCGACCATGAATGGAGCTGTTTCAGGGTGAACTTTTTTGTCAGTGTGACTGTAGCTTGAGACTCTTCTCCCATTCATGCACACTCCCAGTAATAACTGTTGCAGCCTGTTCATGCGATCACTGGCAAAACCAGATGTCTTAGCAACTGCTCCAACAACACATACTGAGGTTTTTTCCTTCTCACTGTTGTGGGAAGAGAGAAAGGAGGGAAGCACAAACTATAAATGAATGGAATTGCTTTGTCTGGAGAGAGGAAGTAGCGGTCAGTTGTTCCTGTGGTCAGGTGCTCCCACATCAGCTTGCATCTCACTGAATGAGGCTATCATTTTTCGTGCTGTTCATGAAATGATTTATATCTTAAGTAGAAGCTAATAAATTGCCTTCCTCTAGGAGGGCAGCCATACCGGCATTAGAATGGAGGCTGAAAGGATCAGGCGCAAAGACCATGTTAGCAGTTGTATGATTTGAATTTTTTTTTACAATACGTTTTTTTTACAAACTTATGCAAACTCTGGATGGTCGAACTGTGGACTTGCCCATTTAGTAAACTGGAAGACAAATGAGTCTTGTAGAATAGCCACAAGGCTTTAGGGTTATTTCTTGGCCCCGCCAAAGAATTTTTTGGTGAAATGACTTTGATTTCCTTATCAATGAAGAGGGTATAATATTTCACTGGATTGAAAGCAAAAAGATTCAAGAAGCTTGGAGAAGGATGATGTAGAAATGTCATGGAGTGTGTTAGCGTACATCCATGTATATTGACGCACAGCATGGCATATGTTCTTAAGTACAGTACAAGATTGCGCAAAAAATACACTGGGGAAGAAGGCTAAGCTATAGAAACCTTTTCTTAATTACATTCACCTGCCATAATTCATTGCATATAATTCAGGGAATAAGTTTAACTTAGAGAACTAATTCAGTAAAAACACATGGAGGAAAATTTTCACTCCTGCATTTGCATTTAGAGGATAAAAGCAACCAGTGTTCTGGAGGAGGAGAGGAATTTGAGAATGTTACCCTCTACATGACAATTAGCACAACATGCTTGCCTCCAACACCTGGAACCTCTGCTGGGGAGTGCTAGTGGTGCACCAAATAGCATTACAGGACACAAGTGCTGATGTGAGGGTATCTCAAATCATAATGCACTCAGAAAAGTGTCAATGAGCTCCCTTAGCTCGGTGCACAGTATTGTGTGGATACTTCCGTGTAGGCTGCTGGGATGATTTTAGGAATCACCACAGCAACCACTGGACACAGTTTATTTTCAAAGCTGTTATATTTTCTTTCTACCCAATTACTTGCTGCTGCTCCCACTGCTCTATTATGCTCCAAGTTTCAAGAGCTTTCTGTGAGTGCTGTTGTTTTCCACTGCCATTTCCCTTGCCATGAAGCAGCCTTTAGCCATATTGTCCAATCTCATGTGATAACTCTTGTCTGGGACTTGCCTCTGGCTCCTTCTATGCAAGCCTCTTAACGTGTTAAAAATGTAGGTCTGCTTCATTAGCATCTACTTATAATGGAATAGTCTTCAGAACGAGACAAACCTCTCCTTGCTCTGCTGCCCGCATGCCTGCAAATAAGCACAAAACTGCCCTAGCCAGCTGTCGGCTGCAACGTAACATGCTTTCCTGACCTTCTTCACATACCAGCATCCGAGGCTCCAGGCACTTACTGAAAGCAACACATCATCTCAGGACTCTCGGCCCCCCCCCCCCCATCCTCCTTTTGGACTCAAGACATGCAGCTTCAAAGCACACACTGTGCTGGAAACATCCATTATTTATATGTTAAATGTATTCTTCTGCCAGACCAACTTTCTATTCTCTAGAAATATTTTTGGGACATCATCCAAGAATTTCTTGATGAGTTTTTGTTCCCAGCAGGCTGGCCTCAGGGTGTAGGGACTGGAACACAGCATGGTATGGAGATGTTTAGTCTATTTGTTATATCAAGTGCTATCAAGTGCAAGAGACACAGAAGGGAGCAAGAAGGAATCGTAAAAACCCATTGCCGGTGAATAAGGTCACAGGGACACTCTCTTACCCCATTAATCTTTGTTAGCTCCCATTGAATTCAGTGGAATAGTCCCAATGACTTTAGTATTGTTCCCTTACAGTCCACATAAGGTGAGGTTGTAGTTGCCCTATGATGAGTTTATTGCTGTGCAAAATGCAAAAGAAAGATGCACACCTCTAAGCAGGGCAGCCTAATGCAGCAGGAGCCCTGATAGTTGCATCTGCCTTAGAATTAAAAAATAAGAAAAAAGAAAAAAAAAAAAAGAAAAAAGGAAAAAAAAGAGTGTTGTGATGAACTCTGAAGAGCCTGCACTGGGCCACAGCTGGAAGAAATCACAGGGCTATCCCTGGCCCCTGGAGATACCCTCAAGTGCATGCATCTGCTGCCCAGTGCATGCACCCTTCGCTCAGTGCTGCAACGGGAGCTCTCCCTGCCACACAGAGCAGGTTTGCAAGATCTAGAGTTAGCATCATCCTAGCTGACCCTATATATGCACTAACAAAACAAAACAGGAAGAGTAGGTCACCCTCATCTCAACAGCAAACTCCTAAATGTTCTTATTTATTTATTTATTTATTTATTGGTAAGCTTAAAGCCGTGGATGAAGTGATTTAAATTAATCCTTCTGTGGCAGTTTTAGTAAAAACATTTTACCTCTCAGGACTGGGGACTGGGGCATGTACATGCCCAGTCTCCATCCCTCAGGTGAGTGTGCCATGCTAGCTCTGCAGTGTGGGAACATGCTCTGAGACCAGCACGTAAGAAGCAGGAGTGGGAGGTCAGCCATGATTTCCTAGCATCCGCACAGGCAAGCCAGAATGCACAGGTAGTGAGAAAGGCAGGGTGGGAAGAAGCATAACAAGGAACAAGAGCAGGTGGGAAGTCCTGCTGGATGCTGAAGATCAGCCCTGTGTTCTCTGAACCTTTTCTACAGCTGAACTTTACCACAGGAAATGATGCAGATGCAGGTTCTTTAAACCTCTTATTTCCATCCCAAGCTGCTCCACTGCACGAGGCTTTTTTCTTGCTGCCCCTCCCCATCAGAAGATAAAGCCCATTCCCTGTTTTTCCCAGGCATCCTCATGCTCTGCACTCACTTCATGCACTGAACAGTAACTTTCTGACTGTTGTTCATTCACAAGGAATAGGATCCTGCTTCCTGCAGTGCTGATCGATCCTGGTTGGGATTGGGTTTTTATTTTTTCAACTCCCACCATCTATTCAAAAATATTGGTTGGCTGCTCAGTAGCTAAAAAGTTCCCGTTCTTTAAAAAAGAAAAGAAAAGAAAGAAACCCATTAGGTCATCCCTTGGCATTTATGGCATTGTACGAGGGTGGAGCATGCAAATACTCCTTTGAAATGGAGATATCAAAGTTAAGATCCCTTTTTCCTGAGCTGTGGGGGTGAGAGAAATCTGTGTGCGTCTCCCTGCCAAAATCTACCCCTCTTTTCTGAGTTTAGTGCAAGGGCTGGATGCAGCCATGTTTTTGCATAGAGGCCAAAACAGAAGCTGTACATTGCTATGGACCCTTGGACTCTCCCTTGCTCTCTACCAGTACATCAAGCCCTGAATTCTGGCATGCCTATAACCTCAGTTTCACATAGGGCTCAGTTTTGGTGAGCTTCAAAGCTCAGCTTGAAGCGTCTGTCCTTGGCTACATCTCCAGCAATCCCTTGCACAGCAGAGGTTTTCATTAAGAATGAACTTCATCTCCTTGCGCTCTCCTGCCACCTCCTCCATATGTCAAACTATGGCATTGGCCTTAATCAAATGCTAGAAACTTCTGCTGTGTCCAAGGCTCAATGAGTAGGTGCCTCAGCACCTTGAATCTTTTTGGCCCAACTCCAGCACAAATTAGAGTGGCTCTAAGGGTATCGGCCCCCCTCAGTCATGCTTAGCACTGTGCAGAGCTCTTGTCAGGGCCGAAGCAAGGGCTGTGCCTGAAGGGTGCCAGCTCCCAATATACCCAGACTGCCACACGCTCCTTTCCCTGGGTGGCACTCAGGATTAGAAGCTAGAGGTTCCTAGGAACAGGACCAGCAGGAGGAGGTGGTGACTGGAAGCAAGAAGGTGATGGGGAAAGACTTCTGTGCACTAGCATGCCTTGCTACCAGCTATGTTTCTACTGTCTTGTGCCCCAACACGTTTGAGGCTATGGGGAGGGAAACTGGCTCTACAGACTTTGGCAAATTCAACCTTCCAGCTGGAAAAGCACCCCCCCCTCGCACAGTGTCCTCCTGCCACCCTGATAATCTCATCTCACAGGGAAATGAACGTAAAATCCAACCTGGAGGCTTTCTGGCTTCTCAGTGGGGCAGGTCAGGTCCAGGAAGGCCATTTTGCTCTTGCTAAGGTGCGTATCTGGGCCCAAACTTCCATGTAACTAGGTGTCCCTGGGGTGGCATCATGGGTCACCTCCCACCCTAGGTCTCCTCAGGGCAGGCATGTACAGCAGCAGGAGAGGGCTTACCTTTCTGTAAAGGGAGGAAGAATGTGAACAGTCCTCACTGCCTGCAAGGAGAGGAGGAGGCCGTCTTCAGCTAGCCTATAAATAATCATCATTTCTATAAACATCTGTCAGGGTTGGGTTGAACTGGAGGCTGTGCCAGGGACCAACCCATAATCAAAACGTTCTGGCAAATATTGAGATGACAGTGGCTGTGTGGGCCGTCTCCATGTACAGTATACAAATATTTACTGTAGATTTGCCTGCTGCAGTAACTACTCGTTCCTAGCAACTTTCTGCACCAGCTCTTGTACATTTTTATCCTCTCACAGTCTGGCTGAGCAAGTTGTTGATTTTTTTTGCTTTCTTTTTTTTTTTAATTGCCTACCACCTAATGGCATCATTTGAATGAAGAACTGTACTGAGCCATTGGGCCCCCTAAATGTTGTTGGCCATGAGCCTACAGCTTTGCACAAAGCAGGCACACTGAAGCCACCTTCCGCTGGAGGCCTCGCCCTGCAGGGCCTGCAGGCTCCAGCATGGAGTAGTTCAACTTGAGGAGAGGGCTCAGAGGGTGCTCTTGTCTTTGCTGACCCTTGTCTCTAGCTGCAAGCTTCGCACTGAGAGAGAACCCCTCAGTGTAAGAGTGCTTTGCAATCAGATATGCTAGTTGTCTGTAGATTTAGATCACTATCTTTATCCCCAGGGAGAGAGGAACATCTGGGACCTCACCAAAACAGAATAAGGACTCAGACAATATCAACTTTGAAATAATGCAGACTGAAGAACGTGAGTGCAGAAGAAACTGTCACCTTTGAGTGACAGAAGGACATGGCAGGGTAGAAATAAATGTAGGCAGGTGTCCCCATGGGAACAGTCATTGGCTGACACTGTTTGCCTGCAGAAGGATCTTTGGCTCAAATATTTTTTCAGTGACGTAAAAGAAAAACATGCAGCTTGGAGCAAGCCAGGTCCTGTGAGAGGTTCTGGGAAGCTGCAATAAAGATGTCAACTTTGACTCTGATGGCAGGATGTCCTGACAGGGTAGGAAATGGCTATGCAAGCAAAGGGAAGAAACTCCTCACAGCCAAGGTGATCTGCTTTGTTTTTTCTGCATGAAATATTGCTAACCTTAAATGACCTCTTTCTCCCTGCCAGATGGAATCGTACACAGCAGATCCCTTGGTCTACCACGGTGGCATGAAGGTCTCCTTTGTCATCCAGCTGATGAATGCCATTGCCAGAATTGAGCGAGCTCTGCCCAAGCTGACTCTGCCCATCCTGGTGCTACACGGCTCTTCTGACAAGCTCTGTGATATCAGAGGGTCCTATTTACTGATGGATACAGTGCAGAGTCAAGACAAAACACTCAAGGTTATCTTGCTTTCTTGATTTTTGTGGAATTGTACTGATAGCATTGGCCTGAGCGCCCTTCACTCTGAGGGGCGGGGCGTCTGCTTAGCTCCCTTCAGAGATACAAGCAGTTCTGAGGGAAAGCAGGGCCATATCAAGCTGAACTGTAATGATATGTCAACACAGTAGTTAAGCACAGGCCCAAACCTTCTCTCAAGGAATCTTAGCTGATATCCATGCTGTAACAAGTAACAGGGCTAAGCTCGCTTCTTGCTTTTTAGGCTTGACAAGGACATCAGAGGTAAGGATTCAGGTGAACTGCCTTTGGAGCAGGGGGTCATGGGTGATCTGAATACCTGATCCTGTGGGTAGCTGCGTACCTAGGGATCTCTGTTACATGAAGCAACTTGGCATGTCAGCAGAGCGAGGCTCATAACCAGGTAAAGTGCTGACCCCAACAGCTCTTCTGAACAATGCCAACTGTGTCAGCACCACCCTTACCTCAAGCCCCAGCGCGTGAAGGTGCAGGGAGGCCTTTCCAAAGCACAGCTCAACAAAAGCCACTTCACATCTGCTCATTTCAAGAGAGCCACAGCTGATTAACCAATTGTTAGCACATGAATGAGCCTGAAAGAGACACAGGGAGACCAAGGGAAAGCTTTTGTCATCAGAAAAATAACTGGATAGGCTGGGAATAAAAGAAGTAAAATTACACAAGGCATGATGGGAACATCCCCCATTGTCCTTTAAACTCCAAGGGCGTGATAAATATATCTTGCTTCTTATTGGGATAAGAAGCAGGAAATCTTGCTAAAGCGCAGCAGAGTGCTTGGGTCACGCACAAGTGTCAAGCTCCAATGCCAATGCCTTCTTGAATGCAGAAGTCCAGCATCATGAATGCCAAGTGCAGCAAAGAAGAAGGAGCAGTAGACAGGAAAAAAATGGGAGGGAGCTGGAAGTTTGGCAGATGTCAGGGATGTAACACCGAGAAGGGATCAAACCCTGGAAGATTTGCCATGAGGACCTCACTGCAGAAAGGGGATCAGAAGCAGGGGAAAGAACTGTTTCCATTTCCCCTCTGTGACCTGTTAAGGCCATGCTCTACAAGGCAGCTTGCCCAAGTGACCAGTTTGAGGTGCTCAGCTGGGACACATGGGATCTGGTTGCTTGAGCTGCTGCGAGCTCATGGCTCCACTGAAGCAAGTCCCCTCCCTGGGGTGCAGCACCTCTGAGCAAAAGGCCTCAGCTCAGGAACCCCCACAAAAAACAGGAAGCGTAGAGACGTATGATGTCTTGTCCTTTCTCTCTACGCCCTTTATGCTTGTTTTCCACCTCTAGAAAAGCATCTTAAAGAAAAACAACATCTGCCTCCAGCACAATCTGGAACGGGCTCTATCAGCACAGAACCTGGGAGTCCATGGTGGGACCCCTTCATGAAGTGGGGCCGTCCAGAGCGCATGGAATCTCTTTGGTTTCATAACCTATCATGTCTAGGAAAAAACCTGACAAGGTGTGGGCAGGATGTGTTGGGCCTGCAGGTTCTGACAAGAGGTGGCTGAAGGTTGCCTTGTTCATTGGGATTTTTTTTTCTGCACTAATCTTTACTCTCTTCCTGGTTGCAGGTGTATGAGGAAGCCTATCATGCCCTCCACAAAGAGCTGCCCGAGGTCACTACCTCTGTCTTCACGGAAATACTGACATGGGTTGGCCAGAAGGTCTCAGCAGCTGGGGAAACCAGCCATACTTAAGAGCAATTATTTTTGCAACTCTTACTGAGGTTTTCTGGGGATAGATGCTGTTCTTAATAGAAGTCTCTCTGAAAAAGATCTAACACAGAGGGACTCTTGGGATGTTTTACCATGCACAGCATGAGGGAGGGTGGGGGGAGAGGCACAGGATGGAGCACTTTTTGCTCGCAAAAATGAGCCCTAATCTCAGAAAGAATTTATAGCTGTGGGAGCAGCCATTAAAGCTTTCCAGATTGGGTAGTTTTATTAAACAGTCCCTTACCCACTAAGCCTCCTCCATCGCTTCCCCTCCTCTGTTTTGCTGAGGTGCCAGGAGTGTATTTATACTGCAATAACTTTTAGTATGTTAAACAAGTCCATATCTTCCATTTTATGGTTTTAATTCCAGGTATGTACAGTCCCATCCCTCTTCCCACTATCCAGTACCTTTAAAGTCCTGGCCCTTGAGAGGAGAATGCTTGCTGGGTAATGAAGAGAGGCTGAAAGGCAGAGCTGATGGGGGGTGGGAACAGACTCACGCTTGAAAGTGAAAGGCTGGTTTTCAAGGTCAGACTCCTTTGGATGCTACCTTTATTAGCAGGCCAGACCCAAGGGGAGAGAATAAACAGTGTGTATTTTCTCCCCCCCCACCCCAACTCCTCTGTGAGTTTGCGCTCTGGGAAAGCATGTTGAACAGCTTTTTAATTTTCATCATCAGAACAGAATCCCAGAGGGGAAAAGGATGAATGTAGAATCAAACCCACTTAGCACATTCAAAATCCATGCTATTCCCAGTGCGAACCCCCCCCATCTCCTCTGCGAGATGAACTGCTCTGTAAATATTCCTAGGGGCTGCTTTCTTTCTTTCTTTCTTTTTTTTCCTCATTATTGGATTAATTACTTGTGCTACTGAAACTAAAGAGCAAAGTCAGAGTTTTAAGAGAATATCGTAATATAATATATGATATATAGAGAGGTGGCTGGGAGCTGGGGAAGAAATGGGAGGAGAGTCTAAAGAAAGGGTTAATTGTTTCTTCCCTTGGCAGGGGATAATGTTGTCCTACCAGGATCCAGTTCTCTCACCATAACTTTACAGTCATAATCTGTTGTTTTCCTTCATCAGTTGGAAAATGTCCTGAAAAAAATGCTGCAGAGAAGCACAGAGCAGCTGGTGGTTGGGGAGTAGCAGTGGGTGTCCTCATGGTCCACCGGTTTAGTAGGAGACCCAAAGCATGAATAGAAATCCCTTCCAAGCGCTCCCCGTTCTCCTCCTAAGCAGCACAGCCACCTCTGGCAGGATCGGCACAGGGTTGAGCTCCCCCCTATATGCGAGGTGGGGCGCTAAAGGCAGGGTGTAGGGTACAATCACCTGTCCAACGTGAGTCTTGCTGCCCTGGGGGTATTCAGGGGCACTGGTGTGCAAGTTGCATCGGAGCATCTTGTGAGCTGATCCAGTGGCGCAGGCTAGCCAAACTCTAGAGCTGACTGGGTCTCCGATGGCAGTGGGGCTAAAGGAGAGACCAAAGACCCTGTTTTGGAGCAAAGGCATTGTATCACTACAGCAAAAGCAATGTAGTGATCACAGCACAGCTGTGCTGTTAAATTTACCCAAAAGATGGCCATAATTATTAGTATGTGTCTTGGCATTAGCCAAAGGGAAGGGGTTAACTTGCTCCTCTCCCTCCGATTTTGCAAGAAGAGGAAGCTCATAAATGCTTCATAAGAGAAACTGGAGCATCGGGCAGCAGTGGAAGTAGTGGTAGCAGTTCTAGCACAATTCAGGAAAGGGACCTCCGTGCAATAACAGTCAGAATGAGGTCAGTCCCCGTGCAGGCCCATCAGTGTGGATGTTCCCACGACGCGTGGATGCACGTGATGCCTTTCTCCTCACAACTGCCTTGGGGACCTAGTCAGGAAAGCTCTTTTGTACAGGTTGGTGCAGGCGTTTCCACACTTGTATTTTCCTGCCTCTGAAGAGAGGAACCAGCTGTAACTCTAGCAATGTGAGCTTTTGGTTAAATTGTTATTCCAGTGCAATCAATAACTCTCACCAACCCTTGCTGAACCTGCAGTGACACTTGCTAGGGGAACGAGGAGATGCACAGGTTGCCTGCTCTGTATCTTACCACAGGCTGGCTTGCTCTAACTTCTTTTCATTGAGCAAGGTTCCCTCTTGCCAGATACTGCTGGGGAAAGACAGCAAATGTGGCACGATTTCAGTGGTGATAAACCTCACCTGCTTCTTCAGCTGAAATAGGAATCAAGCAGGCATGATCAAGCAGGCATGGTGCCAGATGTCATGAGGTGGTAACAAGATAATGACTTAAGGATGAAAGTTTTTTCAAAAGCACTTTTTCTGAGGACGTCAGTAGGAGCGGATCAGTGCCCATGTCCTTTAAATCCCTTCCTAAACTGACAAGCACTTTGTGGGGGAAAGGGAAGCGACCCTCCAGAAGGAAGGTCGGGGCCTGTCTGCTCCCTCCAACCTGGCTTCGGGCAGAGGAAGAAGGTCTGCAATCAGTGCCTTTGCTAAAGCATGTCCTTTCACCAAGGAGCATCTGCAGCTCAGAAGAAATAGAAAGAAACCAATTACGTTGATCTAAGGAAGGCTTGTCCCTCTGTCCAGCTCAGCTCAGCAATGATATGCGGCCTGGGGAAGCTGCATTTGAAAATCAGATTAACAAACAAAAACGTGGCTCAGTTTAGAAAAAAAAAAAAAACGCCCCCAAAACCCTGTTACGGCAGAGGTTACTGCCACCCTCAGCCAAGTTTCTGACGCTCTGTCTTTTGAGGAAATTAACACAGGGAAAACCCACCTGAAAAAAAGCCCTGGGGCTTTCTGCTAGGCTACCTGCTGTCTGCCTCTGCCCATGCACACTCCCAGACTTCCAGGTGGTGAAAATCTGTGTGGAAAAGCAGGGAGCCAAGAGCAAATCACCCTGGGCCCCTTGAGACTGCTGATTTCCAGCAGCTGCAGTTCTCAGCCGGCACAGTCCCTCCAGCTCTCGCTGCTGTTGCTGAGCCCTTACGCTGCACGTAAGCCACTTTATATTGACCCAGTTAGGTTGAACCATGCCCTGGAGGAACGCTTCCTTTATTGACCAGATTAGCAATGAGCAGAGCTGCTGCCAAGGGAAATGTAATTAAACTCTTATTTTCAAATGGCAGGTACCATTTGTAGGGAAGCGCGCAGCTGACCTTGTGAATGTTGCTGGGTCGAGACACCCCAGAGGCTGGTCTGCCTTGGGAACTAGGTGGTGTTCACGACTGAGCAATAGTAACGTGTAACTACTGTATATAGCACCACCTGTAGCACCGCGAGACCATTCCCCCAAGGCTAGCCATGACATTTTCTATTTAGCCTGTTCTTTTTATACCACTGACCCTAGCACACTGCCAGCACAAACCCGTTGAGATCACACTTATTTTTCCAAGTAATTTCTGAGCTTGTCTCTCTTTGTTCCACTGTGTTCCAGTTCAATAAAATACATACATATATATATATATATATAAAACATATATACATACACATGTATTTTCAGTGGGAAAAACCATGTACAAGTTTAGGATTCTTAAAGGAATACAATGTATATTGCAACTAATAATAAAAGTTATGTTTTCTGAACAGAGCGTGTTTGAGGGCATCGTTCACAACTGCCGCCTCCGTGGAGCGCGAGCAGGGCGAGGCGGCGAGACATTAAATTGCTGTTCAGCTTGCGGAGGAGGGATCTGCAGCCCCCCGGCGCTGCCGAACCGCAGGCGCGCGGCCGGCCCGCGCTGCCCGGGGCAGCTGTGTCTCACGGAGGCCTGCGATTCCCTTTCTGCTTGAAAGTCGGCTTTCCAAAGGGCTCCGAAACCCATGGCCTCGCTCCCCCATTTCCTGTACCACAGGACGAATTAGCTTGGGGCACTGCAGCAAATACTGCTGTAGGTCACGTGCAGAGAGGCCGAGGAGCTCACCTCCGGACAGAGACGCTCGGTTCTGCTATAGTCCACGTGCTGGGAGAGCTTGGGAGATGCTGCGCGCGCGGGGTGTAAGGTAATCTCTATATTAAAGTTTGGCCTAGGAGAGCTGTCTGAGTAACGTGAAGGAAAACCAGCTCTAACCTTTTCTAGGTGGCAGCTGGGGTGGTTAAGGTAACTAGTGCCCTGCCCCAAGCGCTCCCCCGACCCCAGACAGAGCGACGGCTGGAGCTGATGGAGGAGCTTGCGGTAACACGCCAGCTCAGCCCGCTTCGAGACCTGCTTCCCACAATTTTACAAGCCCATTAAAATATTACTTTGGTCCCAAAACGTGCCCAGTTCAAACTGGAGGCATCTGCAACGTGCCCGGGAGCACGGCCGTTTAAAGGCCACCTTTGCCCGCCGCTGCGGCTCCCCCGCGGGGGGG